TATAACACTGTGGTAATGATATTCTCATCGCAGGTCTGAGAAGTCTGTACAAGAGAATGTAAATGCTAGAACAGAGCCTTGTTTTGCTTGTATTTAATATCCCCCTCAAAAATCTAATGGCACCGGAGAACTAACCTCATAAATCACAAGGAAAAATTACCTCCCACATGCATCCCCAGAAACCTGCATGGTTCCATTGAGGCAGCAGCACTAACAGCATCCCTGCCAGCAGGCTGCACATTGTACTGCTCGTTATAGTCCCTCTGTATAATTCTGCACTGCACTGTTCCACTGATCAAAAGACTAATCCTCATTTATGTTCCAAAACATGAATTTGATTAAAGAAAAAGAAAAAAAGCTTTCTGTTTTAAGCATGAATCTGTACAGTCGTCCTCAAATATATTCACACTCTTCCATTAAAGAAAAGGCAAAATTCACAAAAGTCACTCAAACAACTAGAAATTGAAAAAAGTAATAATAAATAAAAATTTGCTAAATTATAGTTTGGTGAAATATGACATTGCTTTTGAATTGTGGTGGAAAAGAATAATAATTTAAAAAAACTGTCCCTAACAAATTAGAGCACTTTGCTGATGAGCAATGGGCCAAAATCAAAATCCCTGTCAACAAGTGCAGAAGTCTGATTGAGAGTTACAGAAAACACTTGATTGCAGTGATTGTCTCAAAGGGTTGTTCAACTAAATATTAGTTTATAGGTCCCATCATGCTTGTTTTTTTTGTTTTTTTTTAATTTTTCCATTGAACCACAATTCAAAAGCAATGTCATGATTTTCATTAAATTTTTATTTATCATTACTTTTGTCAATTTCAACTTATTTCAGTGACAGCTGTGTTTTTTTCCCCTTCTTTAATGGGAGGGTATGAATACATTTGAGGATGACTGTATTTCTAAAAAAAAAAAACAAAACAAAAAATCTCTAAGCCTCACATGTAGCACCTTCCTGAACCCGGCATTTACTCTGACATCCTTTACGAGGTTAGGGGATGTAAGCTGCACCTAACCCTCTGAGAAATGATATAACGGGAAGTGTGATGAGAATCTCTTACTCCAAACCTCGCCACCACCAAATAAGTGGATCAAACGCGAAGCCGCCCTCTTATCACCACTTCCCTTGTCTGTTTGGTGGACTGTGGTATCTGATGAATCCTTATCGTGGCCATACAGTGCTGGTTCTCATGTCATGTTATCACACAGGTCCCTTCCCCAGGGCTCCCACAGGAAGGCTCTGTTCCGAGGGCGCTGCATGCCATGTATCTCAACTGCCTTATGGTGAAGTGTGGAGGAGGGGGGGGAATAAAAATTGCAGGGTGAGAGCCGTAAATTTGGGCAAGGTCTGTCCCAGAAGACTTATTACATTTGAGAGGCAAACGGGAAGGACTAAAAGGGTAATTTTGGTAGTTTTACTTGAAGTTTGTTGTGTGTTTTCTGGGTATAAAAGGGCTTCTCTAGAAATCCAGACACTGGGTGGAACTATTTATAGAAATGTTGAGCTTTACATCAAGTATTTATTAACAGGGCTTAAATTTTATGTAATAAGTTTTGTTCTAAATCATTATCAATCAATTACAGAGACTAGGATAATTACATGTGATATTTAGATGTAAAATCTCTGGAATGTCTCATCATTTTTGTGTGATATTGATGAACAACAACATAAACATAGGCTATAAGTTTATAAGAATGTCTCACTAGAGGGTCATTTTTTTCCCCATTGAATTGCACTGGTCACATCTGAAGGCTTTAGCCCACTGTGTTTACCCTGCTGGTGTTCATTGCAATTAATCCTTTTCTAGTTTAACAGCAGGAACCAGCTTTAAGTGAGTCATACCCACGCATAAATTAAAATGCCTGGGTGTATTGTTTATTTTGGTGCTTTGGGGAAATTAACCCACACTTCTTTAAATCGTTATTAAAATGATGAAAGCAGGAAGTACTGAGTCAGAGAGTTGGGAAGTGGAGAAAAAGGAGGAGGAGGAGGTGAAGGAGGAGGAGGAGGAGGTGACCAGAGAGTACAGGCGCGTATTTCATAATAGCGAGCATGGTGACGCGCCTGGGATTTGGTGCTGCTGTGGAGCCGTGCGTCTTTTACGCGTTGGTTTGGATTTGTAGCAGAGATATGTTTTAACACTTCTTTTTTTCTTTTTTAATCCACGAACTGAGTTGCTAAATGAAATATGTCCGCTCAAGGATTGCTAAGCAGTGTTTTCTCATGCTCGCTAAGTCCCAAAAGTATTTCCAAGCGGAGGCTGAGGCAGACCAGGAGCTTGGACTCGGCGTTGATGCGGCATTACGGTACCGAAGCGGAGGAGAGCTTGTTTAAGGTCAGTGACCCTGTTGTCGGATGTGATTGTCTGAAATGCCAAACAGCACAAACTTTTGTCGGCGTGTTTCCTTCACTGTTAAAGGTGTTAGACGATCAGATTTGTGGGCGTTGTGATGATGAGATTTCTGCGGTTGCAACTTTACCCAAAACTTCCCTGAGCGTCACTTTTTACATTTGTTTATTTTTTATTATGCATTTTCATACAAGAAATATTGTGTACAAGAAGTAAAGTGGAGCTTTTGTTCTTTTTTTGTGCCTTGTACATGTTTCCAAATTCAGGAAGTGGCTGGAATCCATTTAAAGTCTTTGTTTTTCATTAATCTGAAATAAAACAGGGATTTTTGCTTCTTGCACATGAGCCACACTGCTTTTGGCGTGAGAAAAAGTAAATAAATCTGAAGGAAATCGAGGCTTTTTAGTGTTGCAACATCAGCAAGTGTGACTAACAGGACAGCTCTGCGGTACGTGTGGACCTTTGATGCAATTTTCAGGCAACGTCAGACAATAAAAGTGACTCAAGTCTTTGTTTTTTGTGACAAATCCATGTCAGTGGACGCCTTTGCTTTGACTAACTTGCTGGAGGAGGTGTGACAGCATGGAAAATCTCATAAAGAAAACAAAAAGAAGCTTATTTTATGGCATCATAGGAGAAATTTCAAGGTGGACTTCTGGGAAAAGTGAAGAAAATTCTGGTATCATTTCATTTTAAGTATGTCAGATAGCAATATTGTGAAATGAGCTTTTCAGATTCATGCATTGTGAATCTGTTGGTATTCCTGTAAGGCCATTAGTCTTGAGAAACAACTTTTTTTTTTCTAACTTGAGCTGAGGAAAACAATGTATTATTATTCTAAACTGATTTATGCACTCATTAGTTTCACAGATTAATACAATGCCGTCTGTATTTGTTCCTGTTCAACACTTTGGAACTTTGTAAAGAAAAGTGCGACATAAATTAACTTTATTATGATTGTTCCACTACACAATCTGCACAGGTAAAACACAGTGACATTTCTGTTACAGTAGAACAAATCACTGAATATTAGTTCCTGAGACTGAGTCAGTCTGCACTGTTGTGCTCAAATTGGTCCTCATGGTAACACTGTTTACGGAGTATAATGGAAATGTATTACAGACGTGACATTATAATAGGCTTGTAATAAATGCCAAGTATCTGTTCTCTCTTGAAGTCATCAACGAGGACCCAGATCCTGCAGCCAGAACCCTTAGAAATGTATTCGGTAAATTCGAATAAAGCTGATTAATATGTGAGACAACTATGTGTCACGCAGGATCTTTAATGTGATTTATGATGTTGGGGAGCCAGCGTGTGCTAACATGAGCCTGGTTATTTTTTTGCCAAGAATTGTTAAGCTGGAAAGTCTTACCTCCGTTGCAAGATAACAGCCTCAGACTTTATGTGGAACTGTAGCTGTTATATATATATTCTCATTAGTCACTGATTTGTCTTCTACTTTCACTAAGACCTGTAGGGATATTTTAAGACTATATAGCTGTGCTGTTTTTTTTTTTACAGTTAAAATATAACACTAAGAAGAAATCTAGTCATTTAGCTGAAATCTGAGTTGTGGGATCCTTCCTGGAGACTCACATGACGTTGTCAGCTTACAGTCACAGTATGTAAGTGCCTCACTGTATGCAAACTTCAATGCAAGCCAGCAATCAAAGCTGCATTTTCTGGGGCACCGTGATAGCTCACCTGGTTGAGCTGGTGTCCCGTGAACAGGGGCTAAAGTCCCTGACGCAGTGGTAGTGAGTTTGAGTCCGGCTCATGACCCTTTGCTGCAGATTCTTCTCCCCCACTTTCCTGTCTCTCTCTTCACTATCAAATAAAGGCAAAAAACAAAAGACCAAAAAAATAACTTCAAAAAAACATTTTCTGGCTGTGCAAACATTTGACCAGTGGTTCATTCAGGGACAACAGTATCCAAGAGACCATTGCAACAACATTAGTGTAGTCAGGTTTACAGCATTTTCCCTTTTCCACAAAGCGCTGCTGCACCTCCGCCCAATAACAGCTCCAGCTTTGTAAGATTCCCCTTTCGTGAGATGTGCTTTGTACCTCAAACTGTCCAGGCCTCTTGTAAAACTGACTGTATTTAGTTTGCTGAATGCCATCCAATGAAATTTATTTAAGACTAAATCACAAAGGCCAGGCTTGCTAATGATTAGTCTGCAGCCAATGAAAATACGTCATTGCAATGTGTCATATTCGATGTATCCTAATTCAGGTGTGCAGTCTCGCCTGCGGTGCTTTCTTTAATGCTTGTGATGTTCAAATGATCGTAACTTATTGCAGCATGATCCTAACACAAGAACACAAACCTTCCCTTGATTTAAATAAAAGTGTCAGAATGGCATTATTGATCTACATGAGAAATGACCTTCTGTGTTCAATAGGTGGACTATTGTTGTTGTGCTTTATTAGCGGCGTACTCACTCAGGATCTCTGCAGTCTGAGCTGAGACGGAAAGCAGAGACATCTGGTTTACATGAAGAAAGCTTCAACTCTTATTTCTCACAGTGCAGCAGCATGACCTGATCCTTGGCTACAGTCCCTCAGGCACATATTTCTTCCCACAAGAGACTGTCCGTTTACATGGCATGGGGCTGAATCTGCTGGCTTGCAACTGCAGCGACGTGACATCAGGTTTACGTCCCATGAATGGAAAACACACAGAGGGATAGTTGTGAATGCAAGCGTCGAATCGCTGTTTAACATCTATTCTGACTTTTAGCTACCTTTGTGTGGTTACATAACGGACAGATATGATCTCCTTAGTGCAACTCAGAGGGTACTCTCAGGCTAAATACGTAGCAAGACACTTGCACTGCATAACCAAATTTAGTTCATAGTTTGGCTGTGAGAATACAGTAAGATAGTGGTGGCACAATAGGGTGTAAAATTAGTTATGTTGGGGCTTTCAAGGTGCCAGATAAGCTGATAGAAGAGAGGTGTATGAATCATTTTGGCTTTGGCTATTACATAATTAAAGTTTTTTTACTCTGTGGAGTATACTCAAACATGAACATGCTGTCCTTACATATAAGAACAACATGTTCACTGTTGAGCATTTGGAGGGCAAAAATGCAACAACACTGAGAGGAGACTGAGCTGTGTTATGAAATCAGATCATTTCAGTTAAAAGTTTTAAACAGGCTTTAAAGGCAGCATTAACAATATGTACATTTCAGTTATAGCTTATGTATTCACCCAGGAATCTACAACACCTTGACGTGCATTGATCTCATGTCTACATCTTCCCGGCGTACTGCGCTGTAGCTCTGATCTTGAGGTTTTCTGACAGTAGGCATGACCGCCCTACTTCAAGGCAAATGCTGTTTAATACGACCGCGGTGGATCTTTTCATTGGTTACAGTCATGTTTAAGATTTGTTTAAGTGGATTTTGCTTTTCATTTTGGGCTGTTATTAGACTGGCCTCTGGTTATGACTTTGTGAGATATTGGAAAATGTTTCATTCTAGTTGAATCCTGGATGTAAAAACCTAACTTAATAAAGTAATTCAGTGCCTTTGCCTTTTTCTGCATTCTGCTTTAATATCGTCTAAAGGAAATCTTGTCTGTAGAAGATGATGATTTTGAAAGGACCCCCAAGCGGCGTCTATTGTAATCTTCGTTCACTTGATATAATGCTCAAGGCTTTACAGGAATACTTTAGTATGACGCTCTAAAAAAAAAAAAAAGAAGTTGATTAGATATACAGCTATGAAATATATCTTCACTCACTGAGGTTTCTCTTAGGGACTCGGTAAATTGCAGAAACTTATAAAGCCTTTAGAGGGAGCCGTTCATCATAATGTTGTAGTAATGTAGTGACGAAATGAGGGCATAAATCACTGGAGCAAAGATTAAGAGTTGATAGGACACAGTATCCAAAGATGTGTGCTCTCAGCTTGTGCTAAAATTGGAAGTTTTTTTGCTAAATGTACACAGTTCCCAAATTATTCATGGTTGCGCTCCATTTGTAACATTGCACATCCATGAGATCATTAGTTTGTGTTGTTTGCTCAAGGAGTGTTGTCACTGGGACACATATTTCAAATGTCAGTTTAATCTTTACTCTCATTCCCTATATGCCAAGCTGGAGGAGGCCGAGTTTATAGAGCAGTGGAATAAATGATTGTGGAGCATTTATTACCTGCATTTTCTCGGAGGATCGCGATCGTTCTTAACGTATGCAGGCCTTTGTCAGTTCTTTGCTCATTTCGCGTCATTACAGCCTCATTTCACATGCTAGTAAGCAAAGCTGCGAGCATAATTCGTGAATGGAAGCATCTGAGACATTAAATTTCAAAATGAGATCACGATGTGCCGCAAAACACATCTGAATGCTCTCTTGTTGGAATAATTTGATGCAGAGAAAGAGAAGTTTGAGAGTACTGAGCAGCTGGAGTGTTTAGGTAAAGTGCCATCTGCATTCCTCTGAGCACCGTGGAGGAGAGATGGCCTGGAGGAGAATGAGCTTGCAGGAAACTGAAAAGTGCTCTCCTGGATCTCACCAAAGGGGATTAAGTTTGTGAAATGCAAGAGGAAACAAACTGAAGTCTAGCTTATTTTCAGAAAGATTGAGAGACTCATTAAATCTAGCGGTGCTTCCTCCTCTGTTACTTTATTCTCAGTAATAATGAAGCTGAAAAAGTGACACTAGTGCTACAAGATAGACTCCAATTAAAGTTTATAAAGGCAGATAATAACACAAATATTTTTAACTGTGACTCACAAATGAGTTTGAGGTGTCTCACCGAAATATATTGTCTAATATTGCGCTCTCAGTTCAGACCGCCGTGAAACTAAACCCCCTCCCTTGGAACACGTGGTAGTAAATGTATCACTGACTATAGACATGTTTCAAAAGAGCGAGTGAATTCCAAACAGTGGACATGTCGGACTTAATTAGTATCTTGAATGCTTTTGTGAAGCGATGAGTTCGAGGAGACCCTCACACCGTGGCTGTG